ATGACTGCTCCCGGCATGTGATTATAAGTATTTAAACGTCAATTATAAATTAAAATATTTTATTAATTCTATAATATTCATAGTTTATGACCTAAATTTACTTATAAAGTCTAATAATATAAATATAAATATTGTATCCACAAACAATAGAGGGGTTCAGGGACAAGTTTTAACAGATGAAGGGTCCAGACCAGCTCCACCATGATTTCTGGTTCTTGTTAGGCCTACCGGGTATTTTGGGGCTGAGGTACGATGTTGTAAGGCAACATCGCCTATTTTGAATGAAATTTTTAATTTTTATTTTGTGGAAATTTAAAAAAATCATAGGATTCCAGACCTAGTATACCTCTGAACGAATTTCTGCCTTGTCCCCTTCTCCGTCCGCCCATCTGAAATGAATTCTAGTTTTTTTGGAACGGTTCACAGATTCTCTGAGATGTAAATATATAAGTATAGCGCCCTCTATAATTCCGGTAATGTCACGCAATATTAATAACCTATCGTTTAGGCCTACTAAATTATGTAAATATCGTATTATTATTGTTTTAATGAATATTTTAAGTTCAAAAACCTGAAGATGTTTAACCAAAACATTCAACATACAGTATGTATTATTCAATTCAATAACTAATTAGATTAGGGCCTAAATACCATGAATTGTAATTTTGTACAATAATTTAAAAGTAAGCATCACATGAAATTATAATGTTATTTAACAAAAATGACAAACAAATCGAACTTGAAGTTTAATTAAACATTTATTAGAAATGAGTAAAATTATATTTCCCAATTAGGCTGTATAGTGGGTTTAACAACATACCGTAATAATTACGTCATTAAATCAACAGATTTTATTTTGGAAATATTGTCCTGATAAATAAAAAAAACTAGGCAAATAACAAGAATCAGAGAATAATATTACACGAAGAATAATAACATTAAATCTGAAATAGTTTGTCAGTTATATGCTTGAAATAATATCAATCTCATGTAAAATAACTTAAATATCCAAAAAAATACTCCTAGATCCTATTCATTAACGTCCGTACTCAATATAATAGGGGCCTAGGCCTACGTAGAGAGATAATAAAATGGTATAAAATACATTGGATTTAGATTAAACATGGCCTTCCGTATACTTATTTTAATTCTTAGTATACATGGAATATCATGGTACCAATACAAATATAAAACTCGTAAAAAAAATAATTTCGAAAAAAATGTAAATTGATTTAACTTCCAGGAATAGGAAAACGCGTGCAAAATTAATGTGAACTTGGTTTGGTAAAATATTATGAAATAATTTGTATTTTCTAGAAAAATATGTTATTCCTTAAATTCATTTTAATTCTGAATGTAATTGAAATGTCATAGTGTCAATAAAATTAAGAAACTTCAAAAAATCTTTCTTGAAGAAAAATATAAATTGAATCATGTAACAAAAGTCAATCTAAATAATAGAAAGATGCATGCGACAAAAACCCGAAATATTTAACGGTTTGCTATTTATATTTCATTTTTTAACTTGATTAATAATTCGATTGATTTTATTGAATGATTGTTAATGTTTGATGTGATAATGATGTGATTAAAGTGTGTTTGTAATGTATGTGTATTTTGTAGTAGTATGTTGTTATAATCGTGTAGTGTGCATTCATGTTTGTTTTCGTAGTTCGGCCAGACGCCGTTAATGCTCGTCCCTGTGTTGTGGAGCGCACCAGACAACGTGTTGGAGATGATGATTGACGCAGCAACAAAGAAGAACATAGAACACGAGGACAACGTGGGTGAAATTAAATATCGCTACATTTTATACAAACAATACAAAACATATATCATGTATACAAATCATGCAACAAACAAGTGAACATCAACTCAATGTAGATTACAGTAATTTATTTCATTTAAAACTATAAATTATGATTTTATTATTTGATTTATATGCATTTTTTAACTCTAAAAAGCTTATGTTTTGAACATGATCACTATTTTCTCAATAAAAACTTTCAAAAAATACATTTTATAATGAGAGAAAAGTAATTGTGTTTGGATTTGTTTTTATCAGTTTGGTTAACTAGATACATTAATGACAATAAAATTAATATTTTACACAAAAAGTTCAATCACTAAAAATGTGAATTTATATTAATGTAATCTAATAATAGTGTAAAACATAGGCCTTTTGATTCAGAAATTGTTTGCCCTATTCTACTTTATAAACATCATCTAAAAAAAGTGATATATTTTATTCAAAACTAGAAATTAGGATTTTACTATTTAATTTACCTGATTTGTTATAACACTAAAAAGCCTATGTTAAGTGCATGAACACTATTTTCTCAATAATAACTTTCAAAAAATATATTTTATATCACTCAATGTAGGTTACAGTAATTATTTCATTTAAAACTATAAATTATGATTTTATTATTTCATTTATATGCATTTTTTTTAACTCTATAAAGCTTGTGTAATATGAACATGATCACTATATTCTCAATAAAAACTTTAAAAAAATATATTTTATAATGCGAGAAAAGAAATTTGTTTGGATTTGTTTTTATCAGTATGATTAAATAAATATATTAATGACAATAAAATTTATATTTTACACAAAAATTTCATTCGCTAAAAAATCTGAGTTTGAAATGATACTTTAATAATAGTGTTTAAATAGGCCTTTTGGATAAAAACTTTTAAAAAAATATTTTAAAATGAGAGAACGTAGTTATGTTTGCATTTGTTTTTATCTGTATGGTTAACTAGATACATTAATGACAATAAAATTAATATTTTACACAAAAAGTTCAATCGCTAAGAATGTGTATTTACTGTATATTAATGTAATCTAGTAGGCCTAATAGTGCCTTTTGATTCAAACATTGTTTGCCCGATTCTACTTTATAAACATCATCTAAAAAATATTAAATTATGTAATTAGTATCTAATAATGACTCAAAGTAGATTACAGTGATATATTTTATTTAAAACTAAAAATTAGGATTTTACTATTTAATTTATCTGATTTTTTACAACACTAAAAAGCCTATGTTATAGGCATGAACACTATTTACTCAATAAAAACTTGAAAAAAATATATTTTATAATCAGAGAAAGTAATTATGTTTGGATTTGTTTTTATCAATATAGTTTACTAAATATATTAATGACAATGAAATTGATATTTTACACGAAAAGTTCAATCGCTAAAAATGCGAATTTGAAAGAATATTTGAATATAGTGTAAAACATAGGCCTTTTGATTGAAACATTATTTTTGCGATTTTACATTATAAACATCATTTAATAAATATTAAATTATGTAATTAGTATCTAATAATAAAGAGTGAAATAATTAATGGGTGATGTAACTGAGACGTTTGTTTTGTTTTTATGTGGTATCATAGTTTCCTGTTGTAGTTTGTTTTCCTGTGTTATAATTTTCTACTTTTCACTTGTAGCTGCGTCGAACTATTCTCCATCTCTTGGCGAAGCTCGCACGTGTATCAGCATTAAGACGCGCGCTGCGAAAATCAAACATCAGAGTTAATAGGAGAGATTACTACGTAAGTACAGTGTAATAAAACAACACTTTTATTAGTTGTAAACAAATTAACATCATTGAATTCACAACATATTTTGTCATCACATTCTATTTATTCATATTTTTGTATATTTTATAACGCGCATGATTTATATAAAGCTGACTGAAAAATAATAATGTTCCTTTCAGTATTATCATCATCGTAAAATATCATCGTGGTTATTGAAATGGATATTCACAAATATTCTCATTATCATTGCTATTAATATGAATAGTATCATCATCATAATTTGTTTAATTAAAATTCTATTTTATATTATCATTATCATGTTTAAATAATGATTATAATGAGAAATAATTAAGTACGATAATTATGAATTATTTCAGCTGTTTTACGTTGTCGTATTATTTGTAAATTCATATATTCATTGCAGGATGGACGCACACCACTACATCTCTGTCTAGATAATGAGCACCGCTGTTATGAAGAACACCGCGAAACGGCAATTTGCCTCATGGAACATGGCGCATTATTAATAAAAGACAACGTAATGTACATTTACAAATAAGAATGCATCATCAAACGGATACCAGTCAATGGCTTTAATACAACAACTGTATATCAGGAGGCACTACTACTAGAAAGACTTCATGTGTCTAAAACAAACATGAGAAATATCAAACCTTTAAAAAACAAATCAAAATAAGTAATATTCTACAAATATATTTTTTTCAATTATTTCGGTACCAATAAATTTAGTGATATCAAATCTTAAAAATAGAAATAAAAATAAGTAATATTCTACAAATATTTTTTTTTTCAATTATTTGGTACCAATAAATTTGGTGATAACAAACTATCGTAAAATTATCTTGATGCTAATGTGTTGCTGTATACTTTGAAATATTATTTTGCCATATTTTATGAATATTATTATTAAATTAAAATGTATTTATTAATTTTGATTTGGATTCTTTACACTAATTGGAATATTTAATCATTCTTTTCATCATTTTCAATTTGAAACTGTTATCGAATGTAATACAACTTTTGTGTACTCGTGTCTGTTATTGCAGAAAGGAAAGACGCCTCTTGATTTGTATGATAAGAATAAATGTGGTAAATACGACGGTCGATCGATCAGACGTGAGAAGAAGGTAGAACTGAAAAAGTTTTTAGGTAAATTGACGAACCCATTGTATATTTGAGAATTTAATCATCTGCGGTATATTATAGTCTGTACATGAACGCCTAATAAATATACTCAAGTTTTAAATTCTGATTTTGAAAAAGGCTACATAGGGCCTACACATTGGCATTTTTCCAATATTTTTTTATCTATATTATTATGACAATGCTATTTAGAGTGAATATTTAAAAGATTTATTTAATTTTGTTTTTTAAAGTTAATGTAATATACCAGTACTTGAAACAAACATATTTTTATTTTAAGACATGACACCTCCTGCACAAATTAAAGCCAGAGGAAAAGATGCAGTTATTGCCTTCGTCAATGAAATTGAAAAAGGTGAAATGATGTTGGTAAATAGCAGAGTGATGTTTCTAGGAAAGAAAGGGGTTGGAAAAACCAGCCTTGTAAATTCCATCCTTGGAAAACAGTAAGTGAAATTGAAGCCTTATTTTATTTCTATTTAAATAGAAAAGACAGCTTGGTGTTACATATATCTCAACGTTATTGAAAGGAAGCTGACTAATTCAAGCAATTTTAAATTACTCTATTTCAACAATTCTAACTAAAATTATGTGCACTTTTAATAATCTTTGTTTGTAAATCATCTTTTCATGAATGAAGCGCTCCTTCAAAGATAAATGCTACTTTTTTGTTCCAAGCATGATATTTTGCGCGTGTGTGTGCGTATTGTACGCTCGTTTGTTAAAAATAATTTATTAGGTAAAGAATGTGTTGCTAGCTAGATCAACGATCAACAAAGGTCAAAATCAATTAGGACATAATAAACCTCAAAGCAAAGATATCTTTGCTCATACGTAGACTACGAGTAGAAACTTTAATATAATTTTTCAACATATCGAAACATTTATTAACTAATTAATAATGAAAAATTATCTTAAGCTGTTTTATTTCGTGTATGTAATTATTATGGAACGTAATTCATTATTATTATTATTATTATTTATTATTAGTATCATCATCACTATTATTATTATTATTATTATTATTATTATTATAATTATTATTATTATTATTATTATTATTATTATTATTATTATTATTATTATTATTATTATTATTATTATTATTATTATTATTATTAATTAAGAGACGCTTACTATATAATTTCAAAACAAAATTTAATGACAAGAAAGATCGACGTTCCGGGTGCGATTTTTTTTTCCGTACGAAACATTTGCATGAAACTTCACTCGGGCCATCTCGGATTGACTCGAGTGAGTACATACGAGGAACAAGAGCAGACACTTCGCAATGTCGTGACGCTCGAGTTTTACTATTATTGCTCTTTCTATGTTTACCTACGGTAGGCCTATGAAACTTCACTGACTTATGTGATGTACGTCACTGTGTAACTAACTGTGACCTTCTTGGA